TTCTGAATGTTATCCATAATTTGTCATGATCCACACAATCAAATGCCTTTGCATAGTCAATAAAACACAAGTAAACATCTTTCTGGTATTCTTACAGATGAGGCTTAAGAAGGTAAAATGACTTACCAGTAGTTAGTTAAGTGATAATTGTATTGACAGTTAATCATTATTATAATTTGTCATTGACCAGTCAGAGCTTGTATCTTACTACATGGGCAGTACACTATTTACATATCTGCCATGTAACAGTTATTTGCATGTTGGAATGTTTTATGTTTACTGGATGATAAATACCATATTAAGGCAGTTAGAGCTCTGCAGTGTAGTGCTTAAGGCATTTGACTGCTAACCAGAAGGCTGGTGGTTCAAACCCACCAGCCACTCCTCAGAAGGAAAGTTCAGCAGTCTACTTCCTTGGAGATATGGCCTCAGAAACCCAAGGAGGGGTCCCTATGAATCTGAATCAGCTCAATGGCGGTGAGTTTGGTTTGGGGTTTTATCGTCTTGAAGGTAAAGTCAGTTGTCATCTGCCCACCCTCACCCTAAGTATTTTATCAAAACATATTTATGGGTGGCCTTCTCAACTACTCTCTAGTGAATCATTCTGCTTATTCAGTTAGAAAGAGAAATTCTGAAGCTACTAGCCAAAGTCAGAAGATGCTACATGGAGTAAAGTGTTGGGTACCTTGGCCTCTATGTTCCTTTGCAAACACAGCTGGCTGGCTCTGTTTATTGGTGAGTTTAGCCTCTCTCAGAGAGAAACCCTGCCATCTTCTGGTTGCTGCTGAGAAACCAGGATTAAAATTGCAGCTACCATGGATTTGGGGAGTGGTAGAATGGTTCTGTATGTGGTGGTAGACACACAATTTTATGTGTTTGTCAGAACTCATAGGACTATATACCATAAAAAGTAAATTTTTAAAAAATTTATACACAATAAGATTTACTTATTGTATGTAATTTTTTAAACTTACAGTAAGTAGATCTTACTGTATGTAAATTTTAAACAACAAGTAGGATGGGAGAAAAATGGAATGCAGGCTGACAGATCTAACTGGTATTACAAATGAATCACATAACCACACTGAAGGGAATGGTGAAGAAAGGAGCTGACCTAAATAACTTTGAAAACATGTTTAGAATCAAAAGCCCTAAACTGAAATCCCAGTTCTATTAGTTCTTCTGTGAACTTGAGCATATCTCTCTATATCTTTGAGCTTCCATTTCCTCATTTCTCAAATGCATATGATAATGTACACCTTCTAAGGTTGTTAAAGAGCTCTGGTGGCACAGTGCCTAAGGCGTTCATTCGACTGCTAACCAGAAGGTTGACGATTCAAATCCACTACTCTGCAGAAGGAAGATGGAGCAATCTACTTCCATAAAGATTTACAGCCTTAGAAACCCAGTGTGGGTCATTATGAGTCGGAATCAACTTGATGGCAGTGGGTTTGGGGTTTTTTGGTCTAAGGTTGTTAAGTATCAAATGAGATGACACATATGTGAGTATATTATAAGCTTTAAAATATCCAATTAAAAAAAATGTGATTTGGGTAAAAGTTTACAGAGCAAATTTATTTTCCATACAGCAGTTCATACACCTTTTGTTTTATGACTTTGACTACAATTCCCCACAGTGAAACAGCTCTCTTCCCACTTCCTCCCTATAGTTACCTCTTCTCTGTGTCCTTCTTTCCTGTGCATTCCTGCCCTCTTAGCTATCTTCCTGTGCAACTACTGCCCTTCTTTTCTCCCATGAGTGATCTTTCTAAGGAATGTATCTACCTAATGTAAATGTTTACCACATATGCCGGTCTGTTGTTTGGCTGAAAGCCGTGGGAGTGAGTTCAATTCCAGGCCTGAAGGGTAACTGGGGGCTATAGTCTCAGAATCGGGCTCTATCAGACCAATGAACCTGGTGGTCTTTATTTATTTATTTATTTTTAATTTTTGATCAAAGGATCCTGGATTTTTTTGATCCAGGATCTCCTGCACTTATCCCTTTCTGAGTAAAAAGTAAAACAAATTGTTGTTTTAACAGAGGCACTGTGACTCATTGTATTGTTTCCCACCCTTCAGGTACTTTCATGGCATCTGGACATAATATCAAAGTTAATTTTCAAAGAGAATTTTTTTACTGCCTCATTGAATGGAAAATCTGTATTTTCTAATATCCATTAGAATTAATGTATAAGAGCTGGGAATAAAAAGATTTTTTAAAAAAAACAGAAGTATTATCTGTGCTATCCCTCAAATCTACCCAAACCTTTATCATCTTGGTGAGATATTGGTAACTATGGGACTAGTCAATAACACTATCATCTTTGTTGAATACATTGAATGTATATAGTCCTTATAATATATACTCAGTGTCTTGGGGGCCCAAAATTATCTGCTGTCTGTGAGATAACCTGGAATAATGGAAAGAGTATGAGCTTTGCATCTAGAAAGACCTGTGTTTTAATCTTGGCTTCACCAATTATTGCTTTGTATCTTTGGCAAAAAAAGTTAATTCCCTTTTTGTGCCTAGACTCCTGTGGGCATGCTTCTGACTGTCTTGTGTTTACTTCCAGCAATCAGAGAAGATGGCATGCCTGGAGGCCGAAACAAGAGCATAGGACCAGTTCAGGTAAGCTGTTGACCTCACCCTCTGTGGTCTATCCCAGAAGTGTAGGACTGCAGATGCTCCTGTAGCTACTTACTTTGATCCTCTCATCTGCTGCTAGGGCAGCCATCTTTACTTTCATTCCTGCAGAATTGCTTATAAGCATCCTTTTTAGAGCCTGAATATGAAAGTGCTTTGAAAATCTTAAATATAAAGGAAAATGATTAAAGATATCTTTCAACCCTTCTTAAGGATTTCATAGGCAGTGGGCCTAATTTTGGTTCTGAACCACCTAGAGGATTTTTTCATGTCAGTCCCTTAAGATTATATATAACTTAGCCTGACAGAAATCGTAAGAGAACTATCAGCAGAAAGTTCATTGCCTTATTTATGGGCAATACCCATTCAATCTCACAAACATTTATGGAGTACCTACTCTACGCTAGGCCCTGACCCTAGGAACTCAGTCAAGTGGACGAGACAGATACGGAACATGCATCATAGTACAGTAAGAGCACAGGATGCCCAGGGCAGTACCCAGGAAAAGGGCCTCTTGGCTGGAGCCATGGTTGGGAACTAGAGATACTTGGAGATTGATTTCTAGAGAAGGTGAAGTTTGAACTGAAACTCAAAGGAGGAGGAGGCATTAGCTATGTTGAGAAGAGTGGGGAGCCAAGCTATTTTTATTCCCTTTAAGCAGACTGTGCGAAGGCCCCAAAGATGAACCTTTGAGGAATGACAAGAGTTCAGTAAGGCTGAAACATTGGATGTATTTGCTGGAGTGACAGGAGATAAGGCAGAGTCCTTGAATTTGGAACTGGTCCTCTAAAGAGCGGCCTTCAACCATCTTTGATTATAGCCCCTGAGGTAAAGCCTCTGTGGAGCCAGCTTATACCACTTGTGCTTACTTGCCAACAGAAGAACAACTTTGTGAGAATAGGGAATTAGATCCTCAAGTGGATAGGGACCATGCCTTAAGATTATAAGACCAAGAGGCAACCAGTAAAAAATTACAGGTAGGAAAGGGAACATGGTAAGTTTTGCATTTTAGAAACATCATTCTAACAGTAAAAATTATTTGTAAGGAGCAATGTGAGGGTGATGCAAAAGTTTAATCGGTGCACAAGTTAAGTGATTGCTTGGCACAGAGAGACATCAGTTAAAAGATTTTGCATAAGTCTAGATAAGAGAAAAAATAGTGGTTTCAACTAGGGCAGTGACAGTGCAGGTTGGGAGGAGGAAATAGATTTGAAATTTATTTAATAGGTAAAATTTATATACTCTGTGTATGTGTATGTGCATGTATGTGTAAAACTTCTAACTCTACTATATTCATTCTTTTTATATTTAGATGCAGTAGAAAGTTTATCTATTAGGAAGAATTCTTCAACATTTTCCTCAATGAACAGTTTTCTCAGTAGGTAGTACCTAATGTTTTTAGGTACCTTGTGAGGCTCTTTTGCAATGCTTAGGGATCTTTAGCACCTTACCTTTGCAGACTGTATGTTCTCTCCAAGATTGACAGAGCTAATATTTCATCTGTCATTGCCTTTGATATTTTGATGCTGGGCCATATACTTTTCCTTTAGTCTTTCAGTATTTATGGGTAGTGTATTAGGAAGAGAGAGCTATGATCTACAAGTTCTTTTTTTTTTTTTTTTTTA